TTTTTGATGGCACTTTGTCATTTGAGTACATTCACTGATAACATTCCAATATATGAATTTGTAGTCTAGTTGTCAAGAGTAACAAACCCATATGTTTAGAGCGTGATTCGTTTGGGGACATGTTTGGATAAACTGGTTATGAGGAAATATGTACCGAATGCTTCCCGTTTTATGCCATATCGAAGTTTTCTTCAACTTAGAATATGTTACCAATTGCTGAGAGTTTGCAAAAATTATCAGACTTTCATAAATAGCCCATACTCTGTGTTTCGCTTTTTGATATATCAGTGACGCATGTTATTGGAAATATTTCTTCTTTTTCTCCAAGTTCCAAACGTTTGGTCCTATGCGGAACGATGGACATCAGTTTGTGTGAAAAACATAACAAAACACGAATTACCAAATTTGTATTTTATGCAAACCATGGTACAATGTAGTATTATGCATCAATAAAATACGATAGCGAGTGATTTAGGTTTGTGGGAGCTTTGTGTTGCGCGTGATAGATTAAGGTGAACATGAGCTCATGCTACACTAGTTTTTTATAATGCATTTTAATAGCTTTTATGTGCGTCCACTTTGGGATTTAGAAACAAAAACCTTTTTTGAAACACCTGAATTTCACTTGCCATTCACACAGAGATGAAGATTTTCACTGCAACACACTGTAATTGATAGAAATGAGATGCTTTGTTCCTATCTTTTACAAAAAAAATAATTAGAAATTTACCGAGAGTAATGATGAAGAAAACTCTGGGTTTAAGTATTTTACCACGAAAAGTGTGAGGCATCAGTTGAATCTAGTTCTTAGCGAATGAAAGAGTAATGGCGGTTAGTATGGCTTGACAAAACTACTAGAAAAATTGTCCCATTGAACCAGGCGAATCTGTTTTTTTGATAAAACGGATGAGTCACACAGTTAGTCTGGTAAAGCTGCGTTTTGATGACGCATTTTCTCATATTGTTTTGGTCACAATTTTCGTGTGATGGAATTTTTGCAATAAAAAGCTCAAAATATAGCCCCATGAGNGAGAGCAGTGGAGGATTGGATTCAATTTTAAAGAAGGAATTCATGTATAGAGCAGACGAAGCTTGAACTGTACGACGGTTTCGACCTGGTTGGGCCTCATCAGCAGTGCGAATCCATTATTTAGGCAACGAATTCATCGTCTAATCAAATAAAATTCTCTATTCTTTTGATAATAGAAGTATTCAGGTTGTAATTGTTTCCAACGGAGTCCTAATCATGAAGGCTAATGCTGAGATGAACGAAGCGCTATGTCCGCAACAAGCTCGAAAAGATGGGTTATGGTATATTGTGTAAATGGAAAATAATAAAAAATCAGTCCAATCAGCTGCCCGGTTGCCAAGTGAGTAGCATGCTTGCATTCTGCCTGTGAGATCCTGCTTTCGATCCCCAGCTGGGTCGATGGATTCGCACTCATGATGAGATCCAACCAGGTCAAAAAAGTTGTCCAGTGCTTCCTAGCGTTTCAGTTCACGCTTCAATTTTGCTATATACATGACGAATTCCCTCTTTAAAATTGTGTCATATCCCCCATTACTCTCATGATTATGGAAGAGCAGCACAATTAAAAGCTGAGCTATGTTGTTCAAGCTTAATTGCTGATTGGTGATTGAATAGGAGTCTGAATCTTAGGTGATAACCAAATGTGACTTAATCGTAACGGTAGAGCAAAATTTGCAGCATGTGCTTTGCACAGGTGTATGGGCGGAACCACATGTTGATGCGAATCCTATAGCGGATCGTTTTTATGAACATGTCAACCAATTTTCTAAATAATTAAATCCAAAATTCAAAATAGCGTCATTTAATTTTATCATATCGAACATGGACCAACGAAATCTTTTGGTAGGTTGACTAATGAAATATATGGCCATTATGCTGCTAGCAGTGTTTATCAATTGATATAATACACCGTTCATTTTTACTTTAATGAGGCAAATATTTTAAATAAAGAAAAACGTTTTAAAATCTTTTGGAAGGACGTTATCAGTCCAACCACCAAATTACTGTCGAATCATACTACAGGTTTTCCTTTCTTCTGGTAACTACTGGGAAACATTTAGTGACCTCCAGCAATTGGTTAGTCGCCTCCGGCGCTCTTACCCAGCCACTGATTGTACTTTAGTAGTCATGGCCTAAGGGTGAATAAACACACCTTTCCAACACACCTTTAACGTATGAGGTCGCTACACAGCTGACGATTTGACCCATTGATGTGACTTGGCAGCCCATTATGAGGTCACTTGAAACGTTCTCAACCGAATAGGGAGGAAAACGTGAAATTTTTCATGTTTTGATGAACGAAATATCACATCAATGCTCATTAATATATGTTCAAACAAGAATAATTTCCCTAAGTTTCAACGAATTGAAGACCGAGCCTTTAAAATGCAGTATAGGAGTACACGAAACAGGAGAAATTTGACCAGTTGTTTGCTTGCATGTCTTCACCGAAATTCCCGATTGATGTCTTTTGGTGATTGGATCTTCGGCAATGCCGTGAATCTGACAATCGATTTCCTGCGGAAGCTTTTTTACTGCTGGTATCAACACACCGAAGAATTTCTCAATCGATTTAAAAACTAGGCATGAGTTAGCAGGTATTTTCCATCATGCTCAGCCTCCCCTACTGCTTCACCATTCCGCCATTGGACTAAACCCTTTGCAATCCAAGTTGTCCTAAGAACATTTCGAGATGTCTCAGCGTCATTTCCAACTGTCTAATTGACCTCATCAACGCTGACAGTCCTATGTTCTGTTCAAGCCTACCAGCGATGTCTGGATGACCACCATGCAACACAGATGTCTCTATCTCCCGGGTTAGAGGAACAATTGTGAGACGTACTTCGGTCACACTCGGTCCAATTCCTATGACATATATATTGGTTGTTTATCTTGCTAGTAAGCGTACACATCTCAGTATGCGTGTATTCGTCCTCCTCCCCCTGAAAAGTTATATCGGGCCATGCTCCGCTGGTACCAATGCATCATATGAGATCTGCACGTGAGCCACTGCTTACCTCCGTAGGATGATACTGCAATAGAATATAATTCATAAGTAACGCCTCAAGTGGCTGCAATAGGACATCAATCGATCACACTAGATCGAAATAGGTATCAGTGTTGACCAGATTCACATCCAATTTGTTCGACACTTGCAGATTATATCCCTGGCTTCCAACAATCTGGTTACCGAATAAAGCGCGCCGAATACCGGAAAATGCGCAAAAAATATGGCGAAAGTCCAATTTCTCGATTTAGTTCCACGATGGGAACATCACCGTGATCTCTCCCTCTATTAATAATATTTAAACCGGGTTGCGGACAACCATGGTGTCAATGCCACAACAATAATGAAAATAATAATAATCGGAGGTTGGGATACAGAACACAGTAAAAAAGACGGAACTGTTAAAATGGAAAATTACAAACATTTGGGATAACAATTTTTGTGTGCTTCACCGTGCACTTTTTGAATTTTTTGTGTTAGGCGATCACTTTTATATGGGACACGGGACTTCAACAGGCAAACCGTACAGCATTGGTGCCACTAACTTCTATTCTGCGCTATATCTCTAAGCGTCTCAAACCAACGACAATCCTCATCCCTTGTTCCCCAACCTGGAAGGCGGGCTGCACCAACCGAAGCCGAAATTCTTTCTTAAAATAAAGAATACCGAAGCTACTACCAATCAACAATTAGGCGAATGTTTGATAACTTAACAAGTATAAGCACATCAGATCATCTTTTCTGTATAATGCAGCTAAGCGCTAGACAAATCGCGTTGCTATTATTACCATTCTTTGCGTTCATAACAGTCTTTATTTCGTTAAAACACCTTAAGGCACGATATTTCGGTAGACACCTAATCCTCAGATTTTCTCCACTGGTTTGAGAGCATGAGAACAAGTGAACAACTGGAGAATATTTATTCCCTAAAAAGGTAATCTTTCTTTTGTGATATGTGATGCGTGTACTTTGGTATTGACTTATTGAGAAATGTGCATTGTTGACACACGCTTGGCTTCACATAGCGCGTTATCATGCTCTAGACAAATTCAATTGGAGAATAAAGGTCAAGGTGCAACAATCTGCATCAAACTGCCAAGATGTGAGTAGACGCAGATATGTGTGGAAATATGATTCAACATGTATCTATAATTTACTAGAAAGCGCTAAATTGAGAAGAGATTAAAACAAAATATGATCACTTTTTGATTGGAGATATTTCCCTATTTTTTTGCTGTCTTTAGAAGTTCTCGACGGATGATTTGGTTCCATTGTGTAGAAAACGAAGGTATGATGATAGAGAGTTGCAAATGAGCATACGACATATTGTTATGTTCTCAGCAGCCGTAAGTCACTCAACGACCCCCACACTCACCCTTCTCAAAACCATGAATGCTAACATAAGACTACCATAAAATAAACAAAAGTTAGTTAAAAATCGCACCTAATCGGTCAAAAGTGACTGCTGAACGACTGAATACTTGTAGATATTCACGTATAAACCCTGAAAAGTGGTTTCAACTAACCTACAGACGTCTAAAAAAATATTCATGCTGAACAAACACTGCGCTGCAAGTCTAGGAATGACTTGGCTAGAGTATACCAAATACATACATGTGGTATACGGTTCCATTCACGAGGTCAGGGAGGTTTTGAACAATCGTTAAAACTTCTTTTATTGAGAAAATATTTTGTTCCTCTACTTGAATGTGATTTCCATTTCTCTATCACAAATAAAAAAATCCTCTGATTTTTGTTACTTTTACTGAACATTTCAGGGAACAGACAGGGATACGAAGCTTTTCAAATAACCCGTTAACAAACCATTCAAAAGTGGAGTATTAAAGTATGAACTTATAAACTTTCTGCAATAAATGTTCTATGCTTATGGCTGAAATTATTATGGCTCATTATTGAGCTTTGGGGTAGTAGATATGAGTGTCTTACGAGCCCAAAGATACACTCAGGAATCTACTGGATGGGAAGTATCCTGATGTTTTATTCTCTATCTGATGCAATGCTCATAATCATGGAATCTGCAACTTAGCATGAAATTGCAATAATTTAGAAAATAAAGACACGTACAAAGATGAAAAAGGTCAATTCCGAGTGCAAAGGGTTGTGAACCATTTCTCATGGCTTTAGTTCTAAATGATACAAGTATCTCATTTTGGGTACTGCTCGAGCGTAGGCTATAATCATATTTTCTAAGATGAGTGGTTCCTATTTTTTTGCCGTTTAAGTTCGATGATCTCCTCTTTATCGTCATCTATAATTTTCTCGTTTGAGAATTACTTGATATTTATCCTTTTTTCTCATGAAACATCTATCTTTCGGACACTGGGTGTTATGATAACCACTTCGGTTCTAATTTGATTTTTTATGTTTAGGGGACGAATCGCTGCAGTCTGATTATGGATAGAGCAGACTATCTAAATATAGTTTGCACATATTCACATTTTTATTCAGACAAAAACCTTTTAGTGTACACTAACTCAATTTTCATTTTTGACCTAATAATAGTGATTATATCAAACTCTATTCCAAAGTGAGTAGCCCCGCCCATCTTTAGATTTGCAATGTAAATCATCTACCCCGTTTTAACCGACATCATTTAATCCATCTTGAACCGTCCTTATCAGTCCAATCTTTGTACTGGGCTTTTCACAGCCCCTCTCCCGTCTATGTTCTCATCTATTGTGAGGGGTTTATCAGCACGGACAACAACCCTTGTCCCAAGTCGTATCGTTTCATCTTAATTTGCTACGACTAAACGCACGTGTCCCCTTCCAAAAAGTGATTTGCCGACGTGTATGGGAGAAGTGGAGATCCAGTTTGTTTCATTAGTTTAACTGGGTATAGTTCGGCGTTTTTATTTAAACAAGACGAGACTGCTGAGCATTGACCTGTTATCGGAGTAAATATGGCTACAGCTTTCAATCTTATTTTTCTAACGAACTGCATCTGTTTAAAAAATATATATATATATCAACGGGTTGCGAACAAACATGGTTTTGATGCAACAAAAATGTAGCAGATATTAGTGAAATGGGATTAAAAAAAGGAGCCTGGAAAAACATTGTTTTTTAGAGCGTACCACGTACTCCAGCTTTTCAATGTATCACAGTTCATACCTTATGTTTTATGGAGAACATATCCTTTCCACTTTATAATATTGTTTCTGTTATAGCAGTGCTTATGTACAACCGAATATCACAATATCAAAACGTAAATGTATGCGCTGATTCTTGTCTAGAATTCGGCATTTGTGCTTGCACTAATACATGAACAACGAAATATATTGTAACAAAAAATATAAAACAACCACGGATGAAGAACACAGTCATTCATGAAAACGAAAACGCGAAGCTAATATTTCTAAATGAGCGCATTTTAGGTATGAAATACTGATGGGCTGTGAAATTGCATAAAGGCCCGCCTTTTATGAAACAAATAGCGAAGCGTTCAACTCTTTGGAATTATCCTTTACTCAATAATACCTCATGAAACAAAGTGAATCAGATAACCTAGTCTTTCCCCTATTCGAAAACTTTCTGCCTAATAATCTATAATATTCTCCGTACTGTGTAGCATGATATTTTTTATTTTGAGCTATTTGTTACTTCCTGGATTTCTCCGTATAAATCCTTCTTCTTTTTATTTTTTTCATTTAAATTGTTTTCACTAAATTCGACACCCTCACGATTGCCAATTCCATTCGTTCTATTCTCACAGGGGGTCTTGCTGCGGTACTATACACGGACACTATGCAATGTTTCGTAATGATTATCGGAGCAATGCTGTTGGCTATCCTCAGTAAGTCGCCGAAGTGTGACCAGAATGATGTACTACATAAAGTTGATTGTCATGCTACTTTATTAGTACGATAATTTTGTTTTACCTATTTCATGATTTTTTGTCTCTGGTAGCTACTTGCGTAATCACATGATTCATTGAACTATACAAGATGGCTTATTTCAAACTCGGATCCAATCGTACACTAAATGTTCAATGGATAGAGGTCAGATAAGTCCTTTAGAATCAGTTATTTAGTTATCTGCTGGCTGTTATTGGATGAATTCATGCAGTTAAGTGACACGGAAGAAGGAGTTTCTCGGTTGCAAACTTCATTGGGCAGACGTTCTCGGGGCTGTCTCCCTATGCTGGACAAGGCCTTCGTATTTTACTAAATAGATGCTGTCTTCCAGAACTAACTTTTCCTGCAATCAGCAAGGCACAGTGTGGCTTATTTGCTGCTTCGCAGCGTGTGTGCGTGTAAAGAGATTGGGCTATATTCACCTAGTCAATCACCGTAATTTAGCTAGTCATTGCTCGGTAAAGGTTATCAATTTGCACGGAACTGGCTTTTCCGTGCAAAGGTTTGCATTGTGAGGATAAAGTAATTTCCCATGGTGGTGGAAAACGAGACCAGCGTCAATGCTGTTTGTTGTTAGTAAAAATACTTCGGGTGCTGAGCAGATGCTCTGAAGTTAGTTAGTCTTGGAAAGAGTATGTGGTTGTCTCTGTGTATACTTGTGACCAAGTTTCGACGAAGAATGCAATTCATATTGCAAACCTTCTCAAAAATTGCACCCTCAGGTTGTGCGCGGAAACTGTGCCCGGAAAATAGTTTGAAAAAATACTAACTGTGCACAGAATGCAACAATGTGGAATACAATTGACAGATAATTTTTTCTGATAAAGCAAGTAACCACTGTACGTTTTCCAGTTTACTACTTTAGACGCGATAGATACCACTAATTCGATGGGAACCAGTAGGATGGTTCGTGGGTGCTGGAAGGTTGTTTTTTCGGTTTTATCACGTTTGTACGATTTCTGAACGAACCTCCAAAGAGTTTAAGTCCTTGGTAATCGTTCCATGGCTATCTGCTCCAGAGAGAGACCACCACATTGCTCTCCAAAGGGGCTCAATTTGCTTCACTCACGTTTTTGTTTTGAAATGAAAAGTTTGCGGTGTAAGAAATTTTATAATCGTTCTTCTTTGACCCTTTTTCGATGGTGCGCTGTCAGCCTACAATAAGAGATAAGCGTTTCGTGTAATGTGAAAATGCATCCAAATGCAACTGTTTTGTTATTGAAATCCCAAGATGATATTTGTTGAGTTCGTATGAGGATAACATAACATTTAGCGATACGTAGTAGAACTAATCATAGCTGGATTCTTGCTAACATCTTAAAGCGCATCAATGCTATAGCCTAAAGAAACGCAGGAATGCCGCTTGAGAAATAAATAATTACTTCGGATTAAAAAGTAATAAAAGTTATAAGTAAGTAATAATAAAAAAATAAGAGTTGTCCGTGTAAAAAGCGCTTATTTAGGATTTTTACGTACATTGTAATCACACAAACGTTCACAAAAAGCTGAATCTGTTTTGTGAGGTTAGACATATTTCTCGTTCTTTCAATGGAAATGGTAATAACAGTAAACGTGAATACAGCATAGTTAAGCCTTATTACAAGACCTGATTAACGATGGATTGTTCGTTTGAAGGTTTTGCACGTGTTGGAGGATTTAGCGGTCTGCTCGCGGGTTACGGACATGCAATAGCTCCGCTCAATATATCCGTTGCTACATCTGCTCGAATTCTCAATCAATTGGCAAATGCGTCCACTTATATGAACAGCACTTCTCTGACGGAACTGAGCTTATCTTCCAGTGTGGATTCAAGTCTGCGATGCAGTCTTCCGTCTCCAAAGGCCTTCCGTCTATTGCGTGGAATCAATGACCCAGACATGCCTTGGCTTGGATTCTTATTGGGCCAAACACCTGCCTCAATTTGGTATTGGTGTGCAGATCAGGTAAGTACTGTCATAAAGAGCAATGATAACCACCATACAGTACTTGTGGGCAGGAAGCGATGATTGAATATGCCGTGCACCAAGCGTCGGTCTCCTACACGAGTAGACTAGAAGTGCTTTTTCGTTCACCTCCAATCTTACTCACTTACTTGGTATCCGTGTCTAGCTTATGTTCAACTTCACTCGTGTCTTTATGAGTCAGAAAATTGAAAATGACCAAATGTTTGGAAACAAAGTTAGAAATGGATTTTATTTCTCCGCAACAGTTCAATATTGGGTAGGTTGCTCTAATCTTCCGGTACTGAAAGCGTTTGTTGAATGACAGAAGCGACTAAAAACCATGAAACAAGATCAAAAATCACTAGATTGGTAAAATAAGAGACACTTGTTAACAAACCCGTGCTGAACGATTTTTATCGTGTGGGGTTTTCTCTAGCTTTCTTTTTAGCGCGCTGCTAAGAGCAGTTAGGCCGTTGAGACAACAACCCCGTCCCCTGTCGCTTGTAGCCAGATGGTCGATCTGAGTTCCTCCACGACCTGAAGAAGGCAAAGGCTGTTTTACCGGCAGTTTGAAAGTCTGAAATTATATTGGTAAGAAGTAGGCTATGGTTAGAACATAGAACCGGCACTGGCTCCACGTTTTACTAAAGACAGAAACTGAAACCAAAAGGTTTCACAGATGCGGTTTTTTCGAAGACAACCTACTTACTCTAGCAATTATATCTCCTGCTCGCTTTATGCAAAAGTTTGTGTATGATTTAGTGAAGCATCATTGACTGCATGTCTCAGAATTCTACACGCACACACGTTCAAAACTGGCTCTTTACATCCTGTATCTGAGCTGCATCCATGGGTCTGTTCACTTAGACGACAAAAGGCTTGTGTTTATTGGGGCGGTGACTGCTTATTCTGTGCGAACCTCTGAAGCTAAATGTGAATCACCGACCAAGGACTCTGATCCAATCCAGAGCCAAACTTTCAGGTGTATATTTATATTCCACTAGAGCACAACGCCCAAATTTTTCGAAATGATCCGGAATACCTATGGATTATTAACTGTTTATATTTATATTCCATTGAAAGGATTTTTGATCACCATTTTTATTCATTATCTTTTTATAATTTTACTTTGCTTTCTTTTATTTAATACACAGTGATACTGCTTTCAGAAAGGGGAATGAAACCAATCAAAAAGGCTGTGAGAATCGAGAAATTCAGATGGTTGTGGAATTGAAACACACTTCCTCCAGGGTGATAATTTCGTGACCTTTATCGTTCGACCAACACCTCCCAGTTTATTCTAGTGACAGGCATATGAATGTATGCTTTAGATTAACCTTCTTTCCACCCGGTAAGAACATGAATCATTTGAAGTCTAATGGGTTACGGGTATCATCTGACAATTGGTTTAGTGAATAACTGCCGAGCACAAATGTTTGATTAAAGGGACTGCGACGCTTGATTGTATCGGCTAATATCTCCGACCGTGAGCATTGTGATTCTTGTATAGCACTTAACTCGCCNCTTAACTCGCCCCGAAAACTGTATTTATATTTTTTTTCAGGCATAAATGTGCATTATTTACTGCAGAGAAGAGAAGACATTGAATAAAAATCAACTGAAATGTGTTTTTCAAACGCGGTAGACGCGATTTCTTTCGTGCTTTTTAAAGATCCAGTTTTAGTTAAGTTTGTGCAACTCCTTGAGGTAATCCTCCTTATTGCCGTTTGACCGATCGTACGAATGAAGAAATGCGAACAGACAGAAGAAGGCCAGATGCGGTATCTAAATGAAAACAGAGGATGCAAGTAGACAAAATTTCCAAAGAACTCAAACCGAGCTATGCAAGCCAACGTTTACGACCCAATCATACACCTGACCCTCTCTAAGCCGCGGTTAGGCTGAGCACGAGATCACCATAAAAGAAGAATAAAGCGAGTTATGTGACCGAGTCTCCTGGCAACGGTTTTCTTTCCCTTGTGCTAAGTGTTCGTTTGACCGGACTGACTTTATTCCACCCAATACTTGCCTCGACAAACGCTGCACTTCAAAAAGCCTATCTGGTGTTATGTATGAATCAGGCCCCAGCCGTCGCAATCTATGTTGAGTACTTGCTCCAGAGGCCAACCGCGATTGAATAACTAACTTCGGTATTGATTGTGCGGTTGATTCCCCTTATTTTCAAAAATATAGTAAAGCAAAATTTTGATCGATACAGCCTAGGTCCGATCTAATTTGAGCCGGGTTTTCACACATGTACCATTCTCACGCGGCAAACACTGGCTAGATATATTACCAGAGCAAAGCCATAAGATGGTTTCCATCAAGTTGGTTCCTCTGTTTCACGAGATAACCGATTGTATTTCTTGTGCGTCACTCAGTTTACATTATTCAGTTGGCGATCATTAGCTTTCTCTTAGTAACTTCAGAATTTTTATCAACTCCAATACTAAAGCGGATCCTGATCAACATTCGTATCACGTGCTAGAATTCATCATTGAATCATTTGTTGAGTGCTTTTATTTATTGGCGATGACAGTTTCATGTTGCAGGCCACTCCGCAGCTGCCGCGCACCTTGTGCTGTGGACATCCGTTTCCGTCGGCTCTCTAGCTTTTATTTACCTGGCGTAATGCAATTAGAAGCATAATTTATTGTCATAGACGCCTATATACATATTATATATATATATATATCGCTCGATGAGTTCAAAACACATTTCTAATTCTCTTCCTGCTTTGGATCATTGCGCTACCATTATCAAAGAGCACACCAATATACTAGTTAGTAGCCGACTAGAATCATCACACCGGAGTGAAACTGCCTGGGAAGCCATTTTTCAGAATATGAAGCTCTAATATAACTGTGTACATCTTACCTCAGCTTTTAATGCAAAGTAATAGTTCGCCTCTATATACAACCTATTAGGACAATTGCTAACCTTGAAGTCATTAGATATCCAACTGTGTTCTGCGTGCATCTCATCTTTCAACTTTTAGGCAATGTGGCACAGTTTTATCGTGCTTGATGAGTTAATTTCATGCATGAAGCATAAAAAGTTTGTCTGTTATTATCCCTTTTCTGAACCACTTTATCTCTGTCTTTGGGCGACGAAGCTGGGTTCATTTACAAACTGAGTAAATAAAAGGGGTTGTTCAAATTTGTCTATGCCTGTCTCTGTTACAAACGATACACGATATCTGAATACAATATGTCAATACATGTTTTAGTATATGTAGGTCAATCTCTAAGCCTCATAAATTATGATTGTTCCATCTTCCCAGGGAGACTGAACAATTCTTCACATAATGCAAAAATCAAATTATTTTCCTTTAAAATGTTGTTTGAACATGAATTATGAAGCCATATTTAACAGAATACTAATTTCGATCGCCTTTCAGTTTAGCTCGCACCTTTTACAGCTTTTTACTTCTGTTTTGCTCACTGAATGATTTATTTGTTTTTAACACATTTTTCAATTGCGGTTCTTCCAAGTAGTGCTTTTAATTTACAAAGATCAAAGTTTATTTTAGGTTTAATTCAAAACGAAATGGTTGGTTGGGTGCGTGGTCCCAAATGAACGACTTGGCCGGGTCAAGGTTTTATAATTTAGTTCTTGATAGTCAATACAACATTACCGTTCCTAAACTGCAGCCACGTACGCAAGTCACAAATCATTTGTTAGTGCCTAACAACAGTTTGAAAATAGCACAGCTAATTGTCATAAGTGAACCGAAGGTGCTAATGACTTTACGATATCAACCCTTCTGCTCTTCATCACACAGGGCTGTGTGTATGATAAAATGAACCTAATGGCACACATTTCTATTTCTTACCTTACGCGTTTCCTACCAACCGAGTTCCTCATTCCAAGACTGGTTGTCATCCCTACCGGAAAGCCAAATCTCTGCACCGTTGATTTGGTTCTGTCTGTTTGTCATCTAAAAGTGATATTTATCACAGTTGTTGATGTTACCGGGGGAGGGGGTAAGATATGAAGCGTAACAAGCAACATGCCACCAGTGTTTATAATCCCATTTTTAATGCATTTATTAACTAATGAAGCGATTAACAGCAGAGTTACCCCTATTTAAATTTTATATGTTAACCTAATCCACGTCCATCATCTTGTACTTCGCGCTTCAATTTATTGTGCTTATCAATGTTTCCTTGTTCATTTTTCTTCAAACAATTCGCTTTGTATATAACAAACAAAAACTCAGATGATGGTCCAACGGGCACTTGCGGCAAAGAGTCTGTCTCATGCTCAAGGCGCAACTTTACTAGCCGGAATGATTAAACAGTTACCATTATTCATTATTGTCATCCCTGGCATGATCAGTCGGATTTTGTTTCCCGGTAAGTTAAAGATTATACCGGTTCGCGTGTTGCCTTTGCAATTAGTCCGTTGGATTTCATACACTGCCGGGATGATATCACTGATTTCCACTGTCCACCTTCGTCTTTCCCGTGGTTTAACACTTTTCCGCTCTCATAAACGGATATTGTGATGCAGTTTTATCTATTAGATTTCAATTGTTCACATTCGAATTTCCAACGGAATATTTGAGGGATTTATTCTCAACTCATTTTCTCCTAGCAACACTTTCACATGCATACTTGCATACTTTATCATTTTTTCGTATTAGGGAGCATTATGAAAAATCTATTCATTACGAGTACTAATTTCTTTTTGTCTGACACAGGAGTCATCAATCCATATGGGTAAGGCTGAAGTTTATTAATTTTTAGAAGTCAGATTATAAATATCTTTAATATTTTGGCTTGTCGACGCTA